AGAAACCACTGTATGCTGTAAAACACTATATTAGTATTTTAGAGATTAAGCAATGTTATTAATTACATTCATAAGGCCAAACAGATAAATAAAAATTACAATTATATAAATGTACAGCATGGTCTTCAGACCAATAAACTTTCATTTCAACCCCATTTGAGCCCTTTACCAACCACCACATCAGATTAATCTCTTACTGTACCACACAAGCATATAACTATGACCATATTATTCAGTCAAGTTAATTTGATCAGCCTAGGAGTTTTCACCCTATGCCACCTTCATGCTAAAGACTGGTTATCCTCATATGCTAAATGTAGTGATGCATGGTGTGAAGAAAGAATACAGTGTTTACATTTCAGCTTGGTGACCTAAAAACATCAGTCACTCTGTCTACATATACTGTAATTTTGGTTTCTTGTGATCCTGTGATGGAGTCATGAACCATCTGTGTAGAATCCCAAGCCCGACATCTTCAAAATGAGCAGAAGAGGGAATCTTATGGCAAGGTGTAGAGTGCCTCTGTGCGCCTCGTGGAGTCTCGTATTGTGCTTGAATTTTCATCCACTGCAACAGCAGGATGATGGGCGTAATCCTAAAACATAGAGAGTCCAATCGGTTGCATGAGATGAGATGTTACAAAGAAAATATTAAATTAAAGCATCATATACAATTTGAATGATCAATGGAATGATTCAAGTAAGGATGCGGTCGTACCGGTCATTTATGTTCTTCTTAAGGCTACAGACAAATATGCTGTAAAAGAAGAATGTGAAGTGTCTAAGGGCATGCCAAGTCCAGAACACCAACTTAGGCACCTGCCTGACAAACGATTCCAGTCTGGGAGAGAGAAGAACACTCAACACTGAATTACATTGCATTTAAAAGAAAAAAAAACAGTTTCCATCGGCACGTATCAGATGAAAGACCGATATGTCTGCAGTAGGTCAATATCAGCCATTATATTGGCTAGGTATATTTTTTTAATATAGGCCCAGTTGTTAACAAACAGTTTAATTTCCTGAACCACATTTCTAAAAATGTTAATAAAGTGTGATGTGGATTGCATTGGTCTGGATTAGTCGGTGTATAAGGATGGCTCTAGATCTGTCTTAGACATATTCAGAAATGCACTAATTCACTAGCTTTCCCAGGGTTAGATGAGAAGATCATGTCTGTATGCTAACTAAGAAGCTACACCAAGCAGCTGGTAATCTTAGCTTAGCATAAATACTGGAAACAGAGGGAAACAGCCAGTCCGACTCTGTCTCAGGTAACAAAATCAGCCTTCCAACACCTCTAAATCTATACCCAACACGTTATATCTTGTTTGTTTAATCTGTATCAAGACCAGAGTATACAAATGGCAGGTTACAGTTTCATGGGCTGTTATGTGCCTGTTTCCTGTCTTTAGGCAGTCTTAAGTTCTGCTTCTGGTTGCTGGTTGTAGCACTATATTTACCAGACACATATGGGAGTGGTATCAATCTTCCAATCTAACACTCGCCTAGAAAGCAGAGAGAAGAGAAGCATGTTTCCCAAAAGACTGCTCCTTCCCCTCCTTGTGTTGAAAACACAAAATGTAGACATTAAAGTTACTGAGCACACAACCCTGGTGTCCTCAACTGTTCTTACAGTTTTGTCTGTGTTATGTATTGTGTGTTAAGTGTACTTATTACCTGTGCCTTCTCTTGAGTACGGCGTAAAAGGACAGAATGAGAGGTAGAAGCAGATGGGAAAAGATTTTCACAGGGAGTCCGGACATGCTCAGATTAGTCATCATGGTGCCCATCAGAACTGAAACACAAATGTTGATAAACAGCCTCACTGCTGGCATTAAGAAGACAAACTGTAACTTACAAATTCAAGTGTCATTAAAAGCTGTTCTACTAATTTTAATTAACTAGTTGCTTTTAGTGGCTAGCGTGTGTGTGTGTGTGTGTGCCAGACATACCATTTTTTACCATGTCAAAACGGAGAGAACTTGGTCGATTTCCAGTCAGTTCAGTCTGCATGCATCTATTGTCCGTACAAGATGTCAGTGCAGCGTTCTCCTTTTCCACCTTCATCTCCTCCTCTTCTCTTATGTCCGTCTCCAGGTGCATCCAAGTTTTAGTCTGGTTATAGTTAAGTGGCCCTTGGGATAGTTTGGGAATCATCAAACATGGGAGAAGATCTGAACACGAGGGGAAGACGTGAAAGAGAAAGTAGGTCAAATTGATTCTGCAAGTAATAAAAATGACAGTATCATTAATTCCTCAATTTTTCCCCTTGTACAGTTGACCCACCATTGCTCAGAAGGAACTGAATAGCATCTTTGTAGCCGCTGTCGAAGGCCTGTTCCAGAGTCTAAAGAGAGATGAACAACACACAAATAGAATTAAATGTTACAAAATGGTCATTTAGAGAGTCTTTTTTTTACAGTGTTACTGTTAGTTAAGTGCCCTTAATTCACACTGATTCAACAGCAGCTCTGTAGTAAAGGGTTATCACCTTTAAACTCTATTATTAATCTTGTTATTTGCTGGAGAAGAATTCACTTAAACATTTAGTTTGACAGATAAGTTTATGGGTCATTTTCACCCACCAAGGAAGCTACAAATAGACTGAGAACAAAACTCTGCACATGGAGCGTTTGGCAGGGGTCTGACCTCTAGAGCCATGGGGTAGAGAGCATTGATGATCCTGAGGCTGTTAGCCAGGTTGCCCTTCAAGGTGGTCCCACTCACTACCATGTCCCACTTGGAAGGTGTGTCGGCGGGACAGATGTCCATCTCTCCAGAGAACGGACACACCGTCAAGGTGTGAGAGGGTAAAGGAAGTAGTGGCTGCATGCTGCTGAAACCCCCATCGACATAATGCTGTGAGATGAGATCACATACATTATGATACTGACCAAAAAATGGTGTTGAAGTGACTTTATGGAAAGGCCATCAAATACTCACAACTCCTTTGAAGGATGGAGGCAGTATACCGCAGTACCCAGGCACAAAGCAGCTACATAGCAAAGCCTAAAGACAATATTAAAAAGACAATAATTACAATATGCTTAAAAACTGTCATTTTTTTGCTACCAACCTGCCCAGGTTTCTTTCAAATCAATAGGGTGTGAATCTGTTGTACCAACTCACCTGTATTACATCCTCTTTGGACTGGAAATCAGACATGACAATGAACTTGCTATCAGTCAAGCGGGTCATAGCTACAGCAAGACGCCCACTGGCCAGTTTGTGTGCATTGGAAGGAAGATGTTTGCGTAAAATTAACTCTAACCAGTGGAAAACATTGATTGAGGGATTAAATGGGCCAAGAGTATAAGCCTTCATCTGTTTGGCAAAATGGAGCATCTCATCCCGGATCGTAACTGTCAAATAGAAAACTTTGAGTCAGAAACATAAAATTGCAGGCAATAGAAGTACATTTAGAGAAAAACATGATAGTCACTCACTCAGGCTCATTTCACAGGCTACAGCAGCTGCAACCAGAGACCCAGCAGATGCACCCAGAACACACGGTGCTGTGCGCAGTATCCAGGGTGTATAGTTTACGAAGCACTGGGCGACCCCTAACTGGTAGGTGGCCATGAATCCGGATCCAGAGAAGGAGATGGAAGGAGGAACTTGACGATAATAACAACTGGAAACTCCTGGAGCCATTTTCTAAAGGCTTTGAACTCCTTCTGTTTTTTAAAAGTAGACCAAATCACACTGAGAAGAGTTGTCCAGTGAAAACTGAGCAATGGTTTCACATTCAGAGTTTTTAAACCAATCTCAATTAGACATACCATATTGGTCATGCCCATGTGATATAGCATACACTGTCAATGACTTTTTGTCTGTTTCTAGTCCTAAAAGCCAAAATGATTTTGGTTTGCTTATCTCAAGCCGGCTTCCGTGTGATACTACTAAATAAACTAAATGCTCTAGATCTTTGGCAATGTTGAACTAATGAACAAAAAGTACAATCCACTAAAGTACAAATTAACAAAAATAGACTTTTAATGAGCCCTTCCAAGGAACAAACAATCAAAAAAAAAACATGCTTTAGGAACAATTTTCAAAAGGACTAAACTAAAGTACTTTCTTTATAAATGAGTTATTAGTTACCGAAAATATATGTGAGTATGTGACAAATAAGTCTTTGAATCTTAAATCGTATCAGTTTTAATAGAAATTAATTAGTTAGTTAATATTTTGGTTAAACTTAGTATGAAAATCTTTGACTTTACCCTTTTTATGCTTTTATATTTAAATTGTTGTTTTTTCCTAAAGCAAACAAATGTTAAGATTTTTATCCTACTTTTTTATTGAAATATATATATCAGTGCAACAAAGCACTTCCTAAGAAAGTAGTCACTGGTTTGATATAATACATATATAATAAATTACATTATTACCTTTTTTTATTTTAAAAACGTTTTGTTAATGAGCTCCCATCCATGTTACCACCCTCTGGTCATGGCTTCAAACTGTCAAACAGAAAGTGAAAGCATTTAAACAGAAATGTTATTTGATTGTTTTAAATGGCTATGAACCTTTTTTTATCTGTAGAAGCAGCTTCCTGTTTTAAAGTAAAGGGTAGATGCTCTCCTTCCTCTGTCAATCCTTCACAGCAATATAATATTGACAATAAAGTCAACTAAATATGCAGTGTCCTAATTTATGCTGCTTACCATGCTACCACAGCACCCCCTGCAGGTACAGATACCAGCTTTTAGTTGGGGGTTAGGCAAGGAGCAGCACTATGAATGTGTGTGTTTTTCTTAGATTGCCTATATTTTAAGAGCTTGATAACACTGTTTTTTTTTTGTCTTTGTTTTAATATTTTGTGAATTGCATGAAAGGATTTACATGGCATGAATGATCAATTGTCTTAACTGGATTATTCACCTACAGGCTTAATCTCATCACTGACAATGTGTAATAAAATAACAATGTTGTGATATATGTTCCAAGACATCATTTAAGTACTTGAGCACGCAAATAAACACATTTGGGAGGTGCCATACAAAGTATTCAATACAAAATATTTATTTTACAAAGCAGGAAAAACATTGATAATGTACCTATAGGAAAGTCCACATCTTTTTAAATGCCTCAACTTGGAGCTAATTAAGCAAAACTATATGTAAAACCAACAAACTGCACAGCGTGTACAAAATGGCATTTACCCTGCAAGAACAAACAAACTGGAACAATTTCACAGTCATTTCCACCACTTAACTGCTAGACCTGTATAATATATGAAAACAAGTGCAACTTTTGTAATGCAATTCGGTTGAGCAAGCCTGAGATATTTTAGTTATGATTATTATTTGGCTGTTTTAATATTCACCATCTTCCTTGCCCTTAAAATTAGTGTTCATTCTGATCACAGTGATACATACATTGATTCACAGCAAAATGTAAAGCAATCTCACAGTGCAAAGATTCCTAACAATACAAACAACTGTGCATTTTTTTTAAACCTTTATATGCATGGGTTACTCTCTGAAGCTCAAAAACGCAAGATAAATACACCACAATCTCCACATTATTCTGCAATAAAATGTGTTGTATTGTATTAAGGACATTAATGCAATGTTTTTCTATGGAGGAGGCTGTGGAGAAGCACGATCAGGGGAAACCTCAAAATGGTCCTCACTGAACTCAGGTATAGGACTGCTGTCTGGAAAGTCCCCGTCCTGAGAAGTGTGTTCTGGGGACTCTGCAGGGTCAGCCTGTGGTTTCCTGATGTCATGTGGGAGTTTCAGAAACCTGTGGGTGGGAGAGAAGAGGCCATAACAATAAATGTGTGAGCGTTGTTATGGGGAAAAGACAGGAGGAGAAAGACAAAGAGAAGAGGACAGAGACCTGAAGAGGAGCTTTTGTCCTCGCTCCTTTTTGATGATGTTGAGCTTGTAGTAGTGCCGCAAAGCACGGGACATTTTCTCATAGGTCATATTGTCTCGGTTCTGTAAAAACAGATCACACATCATCAAGGGCCTGCAGTACAACTTTTACTCAGCTTCCCATGTCCCCATGTTTTTGATGTTTTTTCTCTCCACCTGCGTGTTCATTTTCCCTGTGAGATGAACCACACAGACCTGGATGCTCACCTTGTGGTTTCCCCAGAGACGTGCCAGTCCGTTGGGGTCGACAACCCTGAATACCAGGCTGTCTTGGTCTTCCCATCGAATGTATTCTTGGTAACGGTCGTCACACAGGAGCTGATACACGTAGTCCCACAGCAGTCTGCACTCTGGCCATAATTAAGATGGCAAGCAGACACATGTTACCCAAACTTATACAACTACAATCAATTATTGGTATTCAAAGCTCTATTGAGAATCCATAATGAAAAGAACTCATTTTGATCGTTTTCAAATACAACTCTATCTCAAAGTCTGTAAGACTCTTAGGGCTCCTTTAAACACACTAAACCACAGCTACACGGTGAGTGAATTGTGAATCTTATGGATGTCTTAATATAAATTGATCAGGTTTTCACACATTTGTGCACCTTCTCTAAGACAAAAAATGTTTTTGTAGATTTTTAAGTGGATAATGTAGTACAACTGTTAATAAATGAACGTAACACTACCTGGGATGCGGCCGTTGGCTTTATGCAGTGGGCTCCTCTGCTTCTCTCGGCTGGAGAGATTGAGCGGCTCCTGGGTGACACTCTCTGTTTTGGGAGGACACTGAACTTGGTTGTGGGGCAATGTAAAAACAGCTACTGCTCCATCTAAGCAAGAGAAAATGAAACATACAGAGAGAAATAAAGAGAGAGGAAACCAAAATCAGAGTAAATAATTTGCAGAAAGGCACTGTGTTTCTGGTATTGTTTGTTATACCCACTAGTATGTGTGAGTGGAGTAGTGTAGGTGCGAAAGATTGTAGGACGATCTCTGAGAGGTGACATAGGCTGTGGTTGGGTGGTCACAGCGGTTACAACAGCTGCCGACACTGCAGTTGTGAAAGCAAGGGAAACTGTTAAAGAGAAATATGAGGAATTGTGAAAAAAAAAGGGTTAAAATGAAAGCAAAAGTGATTTTAAAGCAGCTTTAACATTTTGCATTGATGGCTGATGCAATATACAAAGAGGCCATTTCACTACTTGCAGACAGTATGTAGAACAAAGTCATTGTTTTGGACTCTGGAGTTGTAAGATAATTGGTTTCCAAGCAACCAGGGCACACCCACTGGCACACTTCATACTCTCTGTAATGGAAAGTACCTTTTTTTATGATCGCGACAAACGAGGAGCGTGTGTGTTTATATTCCTCCACTGAAGGGTAAAATGTCCGTGCAGTTTTGAGGTGCTCGTAAATTGTATTTCCAGTTAGTGTAACTTTACACGTAATTATTTAGCTTTGCATTTATCTGAACTGTGCAGCTTCAAATAATCTTGTTAATGCAAAACATCTTGTATCATGCATTGCAGCTTTATTAAACTTAAAGCATGTAATGTAGTGAGACTTCTAAACATCTGAACCAACAACAACATTAAAATGCTGCTTATAACCATTTAACATCCTGAAAGTTTTTAAACACATTTTATTTGACATTATGTTTACTTCTATACCCCCTAGTCTTCATATCATAAGAGTTGAGGGTAGGCATGCATTGGTCAGTGTTAAACTTTAGAGTTTGGCAAATAAAAAGCAAATGGATGTCCTCACAAGTACAGAGAAACAAACATAGGGGAGAGCGAGAATTCCTGCAGGGTGTGTTTGCACATGTAAGAGCGGGATCAGGAAGTATTTGCAGCTACAACCTAACCAGGATAAACAAGTTTTTTTTATATGCAACACACTTAAACATAATGCGTGTCTGTTTTTTGAACTACCATGCACCCATGTCTGTACCCTGTACATAACAGAACATAATAGAACAGAACAATCTGACCTTAATGTAGTTTGTTGTCCTGATCTTTCCTGTATATTACAGCTGTATGTTTAAGTTTGATTATATTTGTTTAGCTCTGTGCCTTTGTTTAGTTTGATTAGATTTGATTATATTAGACTTATAGTATGTCTGCATATGTATTGTCCTGTTAATTTGCTCTCTGCACTGTGTTAATTGAGACAGAGAACCAGAGTCAAATTATTCGTATGTATCGACATACAACTGATTCTGTATATGTTTTAAAATGTATTCCTAGACGTTACTGACCTTGGTTGCCATTGACTGAGGGAGGCTTGGGCTCTTTGACACTCTGCAGGGGTATGTGGCAGCTGACTGGGCTCTGGGTGCTCCCAGTTGCCAAGGAGGGAGACGCATTTGGGGGGTCACACACAACGCTCCTCCTTTGCTGTTTTACACACTGTAGGATCTCATACAGAACATCACCTGTAGAAAACAGGGGGGGCATATAAAAAACCCAGCCACAAAACCAGCCAGCATACTCTCTTTCTGCAAAGACACTAATTTTTCTACCAGAGCTGGGACAGCGGCGTCTGAAGTCTTCCTTGGTGAGCAGGCACAAGGCTCGACCATTCATCTCAAAGCGTCCCTTTTCGGGCCGGCGCAGTGAATACTCCTTCTGAGCCCAGTGGAGCCAGTGGGCCACATCCTCCTTATCCCACAGAGATGGGTTTATTCCTAGGAAAGAGATACATAATTCAAAAACACACTGTTACAGGTGGCGTTTGTGCTTTAGAACAGCAGATGCTGCTGCATCTACTTTGATGCGTGTTATTTATGCAGCAGTATCTTGCAGATAAACACAGCATCAAACAGAGAGGAGGGTTTGACTCACGGAGCTGTCCAGGTAGATGCCACAGGTCTTCCTGAGTGGGAGGACTGACCAAAGGAAGCTGGTTAGGGGGGGTTTGATGGACAGTGAGAGGAATGTTGACTTGGCTTCCATGCATTAGGGATGTAGGACTGTTTGCTCTGTTTTCTTGCTGCAAAACATCCACACACATATAAGTATATATAAGCCCATAATTACACATACACCACCACTCAGTGGCAGGATAGAAGCAGTAATGCAGATCGATTTTAAAACCTTACTTAAAAGCTACACTTTCACTTGCCTAAACAACAACAGCTGGCCAAGGACTAAGCTCCCAATCTCCAAAAAAACAAAACATGCAGTTGGGCTCTGGTTTGCCTTTTTTGAAGACAACACAAAGTTAATCGGTTTGCTCCTGAGTCTTAACTTACCTTGACCAAAGGTGACGGGGAAATGTTCTCCATGGAAATGTCCCTTTATTACTCGGCTGTACGAAAAAAAAAAAAGATGATTTCCTTCTAAGCAGACACACAGGTCGCCAATAAATGAAACAAACGGCAGGTTAAACCTCCCCAAACTCCATTTTAAATGAAACAACGAAAACTCTACTGTTTTCACATTCGATCCTTCCGGGAAATGAAAACGAAAGAAAGATAATCCTCGCGGGGGGTGTGTGTGCAGAACAGGCTGATTGGAGGAAGCAACCGGAGACAAACACTTCCAAAAAACGTGTGAGCGCACTTGATAGGAGCGCGCTCCAGCTTCAATGATTATTTATTTATTTATTTATGCATTTATTTATGCATTTATTTATTAGCCTGTCTCTGTGTGTTCTCACACTGCGTATTAAATATCTGAATGAATCATTCTTGTGTGTGTGTGTGTGTGTGTGTTTGGAGGGGGGGAATAAATGAAAGTGGCAGGAAGTGAGTGATTAAAAAACAGTGGGAGTGTGAATAAGTGAATGATACAAGGAAAGATCAGCGCCTGTAAAGCAGAAATAGACCTCGGAGCTCCTCCTCCTCTTTTACTTCCTTATGAGGAGACAGAACCACAGACCGAAGAGTGTAGGGAATACATTAAAAAGTTTTTTTCTTTGCACATATTCTGCATTCATGTCATTGCATTAAATATCTCACAGCACAGTACGCAACTACAGATCTATCTCTAAAGCTACAGATTTAACAATATGAATATGTGGTAATAATATGTGGATGCACTCAATAAATTTGAAACAAAAAGGAATAATCAAAACAAACATTAAAATGTGGAAACACAGTTTGGATTCACGAAACACAAAAAGCTTAAACATCCCTTTATGTTACATTATGTGAGCACTGTCAAAAATAAAGGATATACACCAGATAAACACAAAGATAAACAAATGGATAAATGGCTCTCAGAAGCCTCTTTGAGAGAAAGTGAAATGTAGTTTAGGGGATAGATGACTCTGGTCCACACTAGTTGGCGGTAATGCACTTTACCGCCAGAAAACAGGAAAAAAGAGGAAGAACACAACAGCTCAGACTAGTCGGGTAAGGTTCAGGCAAATAGCACGAAATAAAAACATATTCAGTAGTGCAGTTTACTGTAGTTCAAGGCAACGCCTGCAACGACAGAGCCTGTAGACCTACACCTACAGTAAGCTTTATCTAATCAATACACTGTAACGTTACCGTCGACTGTCTGTAACAGTTACACGTTTCCAACCATGGGGCACCAAGTGGAAAGATTTTGTAAAGTAGCTCAAAAAGTTTGCCAAAATAGAAAATCTTATTTTATCTACAGTCATACATGAACGCTGTTGCGAGGTTGGTTATTAGTTAACAGTTATATTAAATCTAACATACAGTGACCAAATGATAATGACATTAAGGTAACTACAAGTGTTATTATCAGAATAAAGATACCTGGAGAAAAGGTTTGGCTTATAGATTCTAATTTACAAACGTCCAGTAAACCTAGTGCAGGTTAAAGTGTTGGAGATGTAATAATAATAATATTAATAATAATAATAATAAACATACAGTATACTCATATTCTATAGTCTCTGAAAGCTGTGTTTTTTTCTTAATTGTAGTTACTTATGGGTCATACAACAGACTAAACATTATCGTTGAAGTATAAAAAGCCACTGAAAAGACACAGATTTTCACCTGATCTTAAAGTATCATACCAACTGTCCTGTCTGCTGGATACTTGGAAATTTGACAGAAAATGTAAAAAAAAGTTCTGATTTGATTTTGGTTTGTTGTCTGATTGTACAGGCGTCACATGGAGTGTATTATCTCCAAAATATTAAAATAGCACTGACCGCATGATATGATCCCTACACTAGTAGGAGAGTGGTGCTTAATGCTAATAGTCAAAAATGTGACAAGCTACAGTGATTTACATGATGATACAATGATTTTGTAGTTGTAATTCTATAAGAAATAGTCACGTAACAACCTGTGTTGAAAATACCCACGTGTCTTTTTTTGTCCTATTTTTCCAGTGATGTGGGCTGAAAAATTGGGGAAACAGTTGGGCCACCCGACACGATCAGTGGCAGGGTGGCTGGTCAGTAGGTTTCTCACAGCGCGCAACCGGGTCCTTGAGGAAAATGCTGTGCAGTTGAGTGGGATCCAGCCTGGGGATACAGTGCTGGAGCTGGGTCACGGCCCGGGACTGGGTCTGCAGTCAGCAGCCAAACTGCTCACAGAGCCCACAGGCCTTCTTATAGGAGTGGATTATTCAGAATACATGCATCAGGTGAAGTATGAATACTGACAGAGTGGAATAAAGTATTTCAATTCAAGAAGATTGTTTTGTTGTTTTTGGAGACCCAGTAACAAGCCTCTTTAGCCCACCTAAATTAGCCACATATGGACTGGTAGCCTCTTTGTGTGGGAATTAAGAAAAAATAGAAGAAATACACACACCTGGGACAACAATGTATTTGAAGGAGGAACATTACTCACTTTTGGAATAGTAGAATATTTATCTTTTTCTTCTCTTACAGATGGCAAGTGAGCGAATGAAGGAGCTTGTGGCCAGTGGGAAAGTGACCCTCCACCACTGTGATGTAGCAGCAATGCCTCTGGCAGACAGCATTGTGGATAAAGTTTTTCATTGTAACTGCTACTACTTCTGGCCTGACCTCAGGAGGGGAGCTGCAGAGATACACCGTGTCATGAAACCAGGTAGGATTTGACGTTGTTAGATTAAGACTGTCTTTACTTCCAAGGCACCTTTGTCACCCAAGTTAAAACCTGTCTCAGATGGTCTGCTGATTTGCTATCTTACTCCTACTTGAACTCACCCAGGAGGCCTGATGGTGACCACGCTGCGACTGTCCAATGTGGCTACTTTAGCAGCAAAGCGGGTGATGCCAGGGGGGAACTGGCGCCCGGAGGCCTACATGGTAGCTCTGAGAGACTCTGGCTTCACTGATGTCAGAATGGAAGACAGACAGCACGAATGCATTACTTTTCAGGCTATCTATGCCAGTGCTTCAAAGTGAGATCCAAATCAATCTGCAAGTGATTGTGTGTATAATTCTACCTCATTTTTTGTGATCATGAAATTTTGTATTATTACATAAATTTTTCAAGTTATCATTTCTGAAGATGTGAATGTTGTAACTTGTAATGTTGATCAGAAATGTCTGAGTGTATTTCTCACACTTATTATGTACAGTAGATTTTGGATGAATGAATGAATGAATATTGAATGAAAACAAATCAAACACAGAAATAAAGTTATTTTTTAAATTGCATTTGCTTTGTTTCATAATTAAATGACAAACATATGTTAAATGACAATTATTTAGCCTTTTGTTTTTAATAGCTGAATTTCATTTTTATGTGAACTTTCCAAGCCACATTGAAATTAAATCAAAATTCAGGAAACAAAGCGAAGACATGTTTTACTGCAAAGTACAAAAAGTACTGAAAGGATGGGGGCAAAGTCAAATTACAAGCAATGAATAAGTTGGCATAAAAGTGCATCTGTTACTGATTTACAAATGTTGATGTATATATATATATATATATAGTATATAGTATACATAGTATGGAAGGACAAAAAAAATATTAACTACAGGGGTGCTGTATAAAAAAGATGAAAACAGTAGGAATAATGAGCAGTGGCCTGAATTTTTGTGCAATAATAATCAGTGCTAATGTTCAGCACCAAACTATCCATATGATATAGACAAATTGATAAAGTCTTTAAAGACAGACGTTTAACACATACAACTCTGAATTTATCTGTACCCCCCTGTTCATGTCACTTTGGTTTGTTCAAATCAAGTCAAACAGTCGTCAACTAAGGAGCAACTGCAGTGAATCAAAAACAAAGATTTATTTATTTATTACTATATATTTTTCACAAGCACCTCCAACAAACCAGGAGATGCCGGTTAATGTTTAAACAACGTAGTGTAATTAAAAACAGCAGTGTGAATTGAACGGTAGGTGGCGGTCGGGTTCCGGTTGGGTGCAATACGCTCCATTAAAACAGACGAAGAAGATGAGGGACGCGGGCGATGTTGATGACGTCGGGAGAGGGAAATCTAAAAACACCTCTCCGTTCAGACTGGACGGTGTTAATGTGAAGTTTATCTGAAACAGCCGTGGTAAAGTGGACGACAGTTGTTAGAGCCGGAGAGACGTAAGTGACTGTGATTTAATATCGAGTAAACAGCGTTATTGCACTCACAGACAGACGTACTGACAGTTTTTAACCACATTATTTAAGTTAGCAGCCAAAACGTTAGCTTTGAGCTGTTCACAAATAACGTCAGCAACTATGATTGAACAACCCAGAGCCAACTAAACTAAAACTATGAGCAGCACATTATTCACTCAACCATGTTTCTGTAAAAAACATTTAAAAAACTAAAATAAAAACTGAGTAGAAGTACTGATTCAACGTCTTATGTCAAGTAAAAGTGAGAAAGTACAGGCTCTGAAATGTAACGTTATACTAAAAGTATAAAAGTAAAATGACATTTCTGTACAAAGCTGAGCTTCTCTATCTTTTTTGTCATGTTATGTATGTCATGCGTCATATGCACTGGTCATGATGTTGGGAAGGCCTGCAATGATGCTAAAAATATATATCCACAATTCCCCTCAAATGCATTGAAACTAAAGTAATGAGTAAGAAGTAGAAAGTACAGGTATTTGTGTAAAAATGTCGGGGATGGAAGTAAAAAGTCTTACTCGTAATAAATACTTTAATTTACAGGTACCTGGAAAAAGTACAGTGATAAAGTATTTGTACTTTGTTACTTCCACCTCTGACTGAGTGAATATTTTCTTTGTGTTCAATATGAACATATCCATTCTCCGGTGAGCAGAATGCAGAGGGCTTCCCGATTGAAGCGCGAGCTTCAGATGCTGAGCACCGAGCCCTCTCCCGGGATAACATGCTGGCAGACCGAGGAACAGATAGACGACCTCCGGGCACGTACGTATTCTCAGTGTCAAGACTTTGAAACTAAAGCAACTAAAACTGCATTTATTCTCTCACAATATGTCACATATATGACAAGCTACATATTTGTTTTGTCCGCAGTACCTGATCATGTATTTTCTTTCCATTCCCCTGTTGCAGAGATTGTTGGTGGAACAGAGACTCCATACGAAGGTGGAGTTTTCTCTTTGGAGATCAAGGTCCCAGAGAGGTACATTTTCTCAAAGGTTTAAATGTGTTCTCTTTCATATTTACATGTTATAAACACTTACTACAGTTTAGTAAGACTGACCTTCTGTTTTCCACATGTAGGTACCCGTTTGAGCCTCCCAAAATACGATTCTTGACCCCCATCTACCACCCAAACATTGACAATTCAGGACGTATCTGCCATGATGCTCTCAAACTCCCACCAAAGGTTGTAACTGATTACAAACAACAATAAAAATTTGATTCTGTTTCGCTTCCATCATATGGTTTTATTTGTCTACTATAAATTAGCAGATTTACCAGCGAATATTTGTCAGTTTAATTGTTTTCCGCTTTTTATTCAGGGTGCCTGGAAGCCCTCCTTAAACATCTCCACAGTGCTCACCTCCATTCAGCTACTCATGGCTGAGCCCAATCCAGACGACCCACTGATGGCTGATATTGTGAGTCACACATAATCCTGCACTCACAAAATATCATACTATCTATTAGAGTAGCATAACCTTGATACACAATCACACTGCGGCGGTTTTATTTGTTTAGTGAATATTCCAGTATAGATATAGATATGTGACAATAGAGCTTCTGCAAAAAAACAATTTTTTGGACTAAAAACATACATTTGTACCTACTTTTTATAGTATGCATTTTATTACAAGCCAGAGTTTTTGCTAAATGCAAGAATAACTTGTTCAGATATCACTCAGAAACACCTTAACCTTTTGTCACAAAAGTATATCCTTTTGCAATGTTAAAAAAAAAGTAGAGAGCATTTGAATTGTGATACTGTGATCAATTGTGTATCTCCACCGTGTACACCTGTAAAGGGACGCTTACATTTTTCAAATGCAGTCATCAGAGTTCAAATACAACAAACAGTTGTTCACGGAGAAGGCCAGGAAGTGGACACAAGAACATGCTGTTCAGAAGAACATGGTAAGTTTACTGTGCTCATGTTTGAAAAAGTTTTCCTCATTAACCTCTACTTACTGACCCTCTCGGGTAAGAGCATTATTATTACTCAGTGACATGATTACACTGCATTGTCTGTCATTGTATTAGCTGTGTGTAGTACTATATTTTACCCACAAGGTGGTGCTGTGCTCCTTCAATAGATTGTTGTCTACTAACTTAATATTTACTTGGAATAAAGTGATGCAGACTCTGTGATTTATACTCAAATGAGACATTTCACACTTCTCAGTTTTTTGGATATGGAGGAGCGTAGATGGGCAATGCTTCTGTTGTCTGAATTAGTTTGTATCTGTCTTTGTTCAGGGAGTTGTGGATGGCAACAAAGAAAATACTCTAGATCAGAAAGCTTCATCCCGCAAAAGAGAGGCTTTTGGTGCACAGCAGGAGGCGGAGGAGCCAGCAAAGAGAAGCTGTATGTAGATTTTGTCGTGCTTGTTAGAGCCGCAGGTCTCTCTTCTCTGCGGCCACGTTGCCTTATACACCCATTTACTTTTAAAGAGTTTGATTTTAAATGTTTATGTAGTGCTAATATCTATCTCACATATCTACATATTTATATGTATAATTTTTGTGTCTCTGTTGTAATATTAAAGTTTATTTTGAACAATACCACAACTTCCTGTGTGGTGTGTAAGTGTGTTTTATTATAAAAGCGGAGTGGTTGACGTATATACAGTATGAAGATAATAATTTTATTCAAACATATGCTTACCAGTTGTTTACAAAGTATGTACATCCTAAATAGCAATTTTTTTTTACAAACTAAGAATTTATTTTTTTATATATAAAATAATATATTTGCTGTCTATCATATAAAAAGGGAGACAAACATCATAAGGCTGTAGTGAGTCAATACCATGCTAGTTCAGAGGTAGTTACATTGTATGTACATATTGCTAGCCTACTCTAATGTCTGTAGAAAGATAGCTACATCCCACTCAGTCTGTATAACTGCTTCCCTCCTGTGGGGCAGAGTTGCATATTCGAGACAAAATCATGTAAACCATGTGAAACTGATCTGTTTCCTGTTGCATTTTGCTGCCACATAAAGAACATTTTTATAACAACTATTACACAGTTGCAAAGAAATATATCAGATAATAACATTTCTGTGTATGAAAATGTTAGCTTACTCTGGTAAAAAAAATGTCCTGGTGTGTCTGATGATGACTCCCTTTCTTTGAAACAGACCTTAGCAATAGGATAGAACTTATATTAAAAAAACAAATACAGATAACTCCACTTAAAATATAATGAAACAATCTGTAACCTCTAAGCTGCATGTCTTATCACATTTCAGTATAAACATTTACATTTAAAATTCTACTGGTTCTACCTAAATTTCCCCTGGCTAAACCACTGATTTGTCTGATGCTTAGATTTTCCATGTAGTTAACAGCTTTTGCATTCAATATTTTTGTAACAGCTTTTATTGGAGATTTATTTTTGTCATGAGAGTCCATGACTGATGCAGTCCACTGGGTAGTGTCTGAAATTGTCCTTTATTATAACAGTTATGTTGTATTGTGGTGTGTCCTATGATAGTCTTTTCTGTGAAAGGAACTTTTTGTGGCACTCTCCATTTTCAGAGGCACTTTGTTGCGTTCTCATACTCTAGAGTACTCTACAGTCTCTGTGTGGACTCTGAGGTGCTTGAGGATTGATAACCCAGAGCGTGCTTGCTGTTGCTCAGTGATGGTCCTTGAGTGTCCATAGTGTCCCTATTCAGACAGTTAGCTTGGAGGCTCATGGATGAGAGGTCAGAGATGGAGCCATGGTAGAGTGATACAGAGGGCAAGTGTTATGAATCACATCTTGATCCAAACTCTTCAGACATTCATCGCCGTTCAAGCCCCCTCGTTCTGTCACCCTGTCTCTATCTCTGGCAGTGGGAGTGGGTATCTGGCAAGGGATCAGAGGAACAGAGGATGTAGAGGAGCAGTGGGAAAACCTGACTGGATCCAGTCGTGGTTGGAGAGTGGAGTTCACCCCACTGTACAAGGCATCGGCATCAGCGAGTGACACCTGTGTTGACGAATCGGAGCACAAGCTCTTCTCTGTCTCCACAGAAACTAGCGAGTCCAGGGTGCGGTCCCTTCGTAGCTGTGGACGCGCTTTTGGGTGAGACCAGAAGAAAAACTGGGAGTGGTCTCGGGTGAAAAGGAGGAAGAGGAGTGGGTTGAGGCAGGCAGGCAGGGGCTGGAGAAGCAGGAGGACTGATTTTAGCACCTCCTCCCCCAGAGAGAGGAGACCCAGGAGGGAGCAGAGGGAGAGGAAAGCTACTGGTACATATAGGAGGCCATTGGTGAATATTAGCCAGGCAACATGTTTGATCATAGCGCAGTCCCACAGGCCCTCACACTCTCCCCTAAGTAACTCCCAGTAAAGGCGGATGTATGAACCTGTGACTATAAGCAAGCACAGGGTGTTCATCATAATGAGTGCCAAGGGAAAGCCCAGGGATGACGGCAGTCGAGACGATGGGGGTGGCAGGGGAGAGGGAAGGCAGAAAGGTGAGGACCCGTACTCCCCAATTCCTATCAGTGGGAGAGAAGCAAGTGTGAGGGAAAGAGTTAGGCAGGAAAGTGCACATGTGCGTACACTTCCGAGGGATGGGGACTTCCCATAGGCACGGGCACATGTCACGCTCACACCGCACTGCACAGCTGCCAGAGTCAGCAGCAACACACTTGCCTCAGACGCAAACACCCAGACCCATCCCGTCGCCTGACAACCAGGACCCCCTTCCCAGCGGGCACCGTGGTGGCCAAACTCCCCTAGGGTCAGAGCGTCCACAAGGGCCAGGGTGCATGTACAAACGCCGGTCAGCAGGTTGGAAGCACCCATGCAGGCAACGGTGAAGCGGAGCGGCGATAGGTAGCCGGGTGAGCCGAAGAGGGACAGCAGCAGGAGGGAGTTCCCCAGAAGAGACACCAAGGAGATGGACCACAAGCCCACACGAACCAACCAGCTGCCCAGCAGAGAGTCACAGGGACGGAAAGGACCTGCAAAACATACAGATCATCAGCTGTATATACACAAACTATAAATGGTGAATTCATGCCTCAGTTTCCTCATACTGTAGTTGTGATAAAACAATCTGCAAGCCAGTTGATAACAGCTTGATCATCACTGAAGGTGTTACCTGGAGTAGGTGTGCATTGGACACTGGTCTGTAATTTGGATTCCTCCAATTCAAGTTGGAACTCCTCCAGGTCGGGGTCATCTGGAATAAAGCATCATCAGGGTCAAAAATCAGGGCCCATCTGCTGTATAAGGCCTGTTTAGCTTGTTTTAGGTTTTCCAAGCTTCTTCTGTATGTCTACATATACAGATTGTGTGTGGTAACAGGGGGTTGGTGGTGCAGTAACATTCTTTTGCAATGAAAGGAAAAACAATTGTAGAAGATAATTGGCACTTGCATGAAATTGGATCATCATGCCCGTTTTTCTAACAATTAAAAGGTGAATAAATTGTAATCAGTCATATGTCATGGTTTAATCATCTTTTGTTATCGTTACCTTTTGGTACACCCAGCAATTGTTTATTTTCAGCTTTAATGGTGGAGGTTTAATGGTTTTAATTTCAACTCAATTTTGGTTTATTGGTGTTTACATTTTATGCTTGCCACAAGAATGTGTGGAAGGGTCAACACTTGAGTGTAAGTGTGTGTCAGCTGCCAGTTGTGGTTTCAGCTAGGCTCTGACATGTTTCAAGTGGGCTTGTGTCAATAATTTGCCAATGAGCACAAACATATGGAGATCAGATTCTCATGTATTAATTTAACCCTCATCCCAGGTGTGTACCATGTGTGTTATATTGTATATAATATGCTCGCACAGATATCGTAATTGCATGCTTTCTTACAGTGTGTGTCAGCGTGGATAGGGTACATGGCTACAGTCCTCTTGTGTAGGTCCTCATCAGTGTTGCTCTGCTCCGTGTCCCACTGGCTGGCTGGCTTGTAGCTATCACAGGAACCGTACACACAGCACTGGTAGGCATAAGGCATCTCTATAACCCTGTAACAAACAGTGTTGACAGGAGATCAGGAAAAACAAAGCCACAACAGATGGTCTAACAAAAAACGTCCATTTTCATGGGAGTTTAGCTTTTAGATACAATATTGGATATTCACATTAATGTTTGAAAGCCAGTGTTTATGAATTTGTTACTGTAGCAGTTGAAAAGCAAGCAAAATTACCCATCATCTATGGGGAAAACAGTCTGCATCAGCTGACTTTGATGTGGATGCTTGTACACAAACATTTACCGTACAATGCATTTGAAATGGTTTTCTGCCAGGCGTTCTATTTTTGGACAATGTTCTACAGTAATGCCTACATTGCCACTTTATCACCTGCCATCTCCTATGCCTTTGAAACTCCATTTTTACTTCACTGCACCTTTCCAGGCCTCTAGGGATCTTTGTAACAAGAATTAACTTGCTGCTGCCAAATACTTCCTCATTGTTGAAGTTCAGTTCAGGGATAGCTTGCAGGGACACAGTGTAATTAGTTCATTATCATCCTTGGCTGCTTTTGGTAAATTGAAGATATTAATAGAAAATCGTGAGAGGAAGGATAATTGAAGGGATGGGAAGTGATGCATTGTTCCTTACAGCCATAGGATACACACCTGGGTGAGTTATCATCATAAATCAGTTTTTGGTAAGAAACCAAAATACAAAGTTCACATTGGGTACTACATTGAGTAAGAAAGAATAAAAGAATGCTTGATGGAGTTTGTGTGTGTTACCTCATACGGGGAAAGTGATCAGGACTGAAGGCCTCATATAATTCTGTGTTGCCCCTGAGCTTGAGATGGGTGAGACCCCCCAAACCTGCAACAGGTACTGAGCTGAGATGGTTCTCAGTCAGGTCCCTGAGATAAATATAGAAAGAAATAGAGACAGAAACAGCAGGGGATTGGTGTCAGACCAGGTTTGTTTACAAAATGTGTATAGAATATAGAAAGCAATTGAGAGAGAAACAGCAGGGAACTGGTGTCACACCATGCCAAGTTTAGAAAATGTGTTTTCATTTCAGATATTGCCGAGGGTCATCCTTGGTAACAAAAAGGCCTTGTCTCTTAGATCATTTTAAACTGTTCAGACAAGGCTCTCTATCAGATTCCCTGCAGATAACACTTCCTGTCAGATGCAGTGTGTCTGCTTGTTTAGCTAAGCATACTTCAACCAGTCTTCACACAAAGAAGCAGTTTGTATTGGCATGACCTGAGATGAGTCTCCTGGCCACACAGAGGGATTTCTCATACAATAACTGCATATCAGTGTTCTCTGTAGATTCAGCCAAAGACAACAGGTTTTCTGTGGCACACACAGTCAAGTGTGGAGTGTTTGTATAAGGAAAAGACTCTGACATAGAGCTTAACTTTAATTAAAGATGCACAAATTCGTCATGCCTTCTAGGAGAGAAGAGTGACACTGCAGAAGGACGGGATGAAAGGGAGAATAGTCTTAGTGACAGTTATGTATCTGTGTTTACTCACAGTTTGATCAAAGAGTGAAGCGAGGCGAAGGCATCCGGGTGGATCCACTCGATTTTATTCCAGCTGAGATCACTGACATAAAAAAGAATCAAAGTA